AGAGATTTTAATTCAGATAGGAGGAATTAGAAAATGCACCTCATGAGCATTACAAAGTTATGCGGTAGGGATTTCTAAATGGCTCCTTCCAACTATTCATTTACAAATTCCCCTATCATGTCTTTTGTAATGCATTTCTAATTCCTCCTACCAAACATTTTGTGATCCATTTCTTCTTCATTTTGCCTAAATGCCTTGGGATTTGGAAGACCCTCACCCATTTCCCAAACTCTTCCTTATATTTTGTTCTACTGGTTGTTCACAGCTTTGTCTACTAAGATTAGCATAGGTCAATGGTTCAATCCCTTTCAGTGTAACCGCAAAAGACAAAGAAAGAAAGATCACAATACAAAAATTCCAGTACCAAAATTATATTACCTGTGAACCACATCACGATCATGAAGATATGTCAACCCGCTTAAAATCTGCCTTGTAAACCCAGAGACTTGAGAATCCCTCAAGAGATACTTCTGATATAGATTTGCAAGTGAGCCTTTTGTTACAAGCTCAAGGAAGATATAGAGCTTAGTTTCATCCTGTAATAATATTACAATGAACAATTAGTGTACAAATCAGGAGAGTTCAATAAATATATTAAATTACATTGAAATATAGCAAGCTACTTTATCTTATGATTGCAGCTTGAGTAGTTGCATTGGTGAAGCATTTCTTTAACTGATCGTTTATGGTTCTACAGATACATGTACAGACATCCACACATACACACATACAAGTACAAATACCTATGCACTAACTGCAACAAGATCAAATGCAAAAGGAAAAGATAAATCTCCCCCAATAAGTAGAAAGTTGTACTTCTAATAAACTGGCAGGAGCCAAAGAAATGCAAACCAAGAAAGAAAGAAGCACACCTTGTCTGTGCCCAGATATTGAACTATGTTGTCATGTTCAAACTGACTTAAAAGAGAAATCTCCTGTACAATAAGAATCGTATTAGAAGAAAGAATGTTAAGGAATCCAGAAAACACAATAGCATCTGCTGAGTAAGAAAACACAATCAGAATAAGACTGTTTCTTTCGACCTGTTCAAGTTGGATAACACTCTGCTTCCCCTGGCTCCCTTGATCCAGTAAAGAAACCTCCTTTACAGCGAAAAAGAATCCATCACTGCAAAAGAACATTTGCAGCATGAAATAAACAGAGGGAGTGAGACCAACATGTTGATTTTGTTGAACAGAATAGCCCCAGTTTAATGCAATCCCAACTTCACCTTCTCCATCCTTTTCTCTAACTTTACAACTTCTTGCTAAGAAAAATTCTAAACGCTTTGAGTGGAAACGCCTAAAGTAGAATTGAATGCTTACACTATGAAAAATAAAACTTGGAAATGGTAGGGATAAAGTTTTTCAGGACTACCTCAAAGTTTTATGGGTACATTATGCAAAAGATTAAAAAGAAACAAGTGCTTAAATGGATAGCAGCACAAGAAACTATAAAATTAGAAATGAGAATCGTATAACCATGAACGGCGGTCCCCCTTGTTATAAAAGTGGTGGTAGTCTTCGTGTCCTATGTTTCTATTCGTTAGCACTAAGTTCTTCAACGAATTCCCAGTCTCCTACCGAAGTATAGTTATTTCTTGTTCTATTTTGTCTCAAATTCAAAGTAACTTATTAGAGTTTGCAAATCAGTAGAGTAATGTCTTTAAAGTAAGACGCATTGGACCAAATATAAAATTCACAAGTTGTGTTCAGATTGGGTTTAATTCAAACATAGCGGTAATCACCAACAACAACAAGACAGAAACAAAATTAGCCTTCATACACATTTTGGATATATGGACGTGGAAGATGATCGCTTACTCAGTAAAGCCTTCATACACTGTCCCATAAGAACCACTTCCCAAAAGCTGACCCTTTTGCCACGATGACGAAAGACTCCGCCTGAATTTCCCATTCGGCGAAAAAATACTATGGATTGGCTCGGGGTTCACTCTTAAAATGCCAACAAAACCAACTTTGTCATCTGCATTTTGATCATCATTATAGTCATTGGATGGAGATGAGTTGGATGACAAACACTCGTCATTTGCTTCGTTTACCGATTCCCTCTCGCCATTTGCTTCATTTGCAAGCTCCTCTTCATCCGAATAGCTCACATGGCCAACGCGATTCAGCGAATTTACACCAATGTGGTCCTCCCGAGGCGAAAAAGATTTCAATACAACCGGAGGCGGGCGGAGACCCTTAATTCCTCCACCAGCACCGCCATTTCTCCCATTTCCCCCAAATTCTGCCAAACTCAAAGCCTTGATTTCACTGTCGAGCCGCATAACCCTAGCTTCGGACTTCTTCTCCAAAACGTCAACATTTGCTCTGTCGCGTAACTGAGGATGATGATTCTGATCGTGGAGGCGAGAGCGAGGGGTGACGTTAGAGGAAATGCGGGCCCGCTGGGCTTTCCAAGCGGCGACTGGGATGTCGAAGTCTTCGGGGCCGGAAAGTCCGAGGCTGCGGCAGATGAGGTCGAATTCGCCGTCAATGCCTCTGACGCGGAAACTGGTTTGGTGGTCGGAGAGAAGGGATTGACGGCCGCGCAAGGAGGATGAGGAAGGGGAGAGGGTAAAGGCGTCGTAGTCGTAGTTCTTAATGGCGTTTTGGCGGTCGAGTTTGGGTTTCGGACGTTTAAATTGCTTAGCGACGTCCATGATTTGCTGCTGCTGCTTCTTCAAGCACTACTAGTATGGTATGCTATGCGGTATGAGAGTATCAAGTTTGAAGGTTGGAGGATTGGAAGTTTGTGGTGGACGCCATTGACGTTTGCTTTGTCTTCTAGCTTCTGCTCTTAACTGGCGCTGTAACGCGGTTCTGCTATATTTCAATTTCAATTTCAATTTCAACTGGGGAAGGAGACGAGAGATAAAGAGCTGAAACGCTGACACTTGGCGGCACCTTGGAGGCCTATAGTTGTGGAGAAAAACTTGCATAAAACTTGTTCACCGCAGCGTGGCTTCCTATCCATTAATTCATTGCCAAAGTTTTAAAAGATGTTAAACGCTAGTCAGGCGGCGGGCTGAGGTTTAGCGGTTTGGTGGGCTCTACGCGGGTGCCTAGGCGGACTAAGTGGATTTAGATAAATTCATTATATTTCGTGTAAATAAATGTTTATTTTTACTTAAAATATATATAGTTTCATAATAAACTACAAAATAAAATAATATATATATTATGAAGTATTGAAACATAATGAAAACATGGGAAACAAGCATATAATATGTGTTCATTTAAGTATTTAACAAGTCTCTTACAATTTATTAAAAAAATGAAATGCAAAATGAAAGTTATCTATTTTCTGTTTAAGTGAGTCGCAACCTAGGCGGGTTAGGCGAGTGCCTTGGTGGTCTAGGCACCATTTCTTAATTTTCAAACGCTTAGACATTAATCGGGACGATGGTCAGCAGCCTAGCGTCGATTTTTAGAGCAGTGTTCATTGCTAATTGTAAGTTTTTCTTCACATGAAAATGTATTATTTGATTAGGACCCCAGGTGGAGGTGAACATGTTTCATATAAGTTGCTCTCCTAATTGTGATGCTAAGCTATGTCAACTTCTCCCTTAAGATGGAGCGTATTGTGAGGACTAGATACGCTAAATTGCCTAAAATCTCATTTAGTACTTCGGACTGTAATGACTATTTGTGTCAGATAAATTAACATGTGTGTTGGATAGTAACTATTTAAACATGCAATCGACTATTTTGTACTATGTTTACTATTGTATCTGACAATAGGACTTTAGACTACTTTTATTTTTTATATAAAAAAAAAAAAAACATTCGTATTATCTATACCATCTATTAACAAAACACTTGTTGTCAACCAAACGATGATGAAAAAATGATTAGGTCCTCTATTCATAATTCAATTAACATAAGAGCTTAGCTCATTAAGGCTAAGGAGGAGTTCCTTCTCAAAATACTTTGTGCCCTATTCACAAAACTTAAGTGCTTACGATCAGAACAGTTCATTATAAATCACTCTGTTATAGTCATCTCTGCAAAAAAATAACTCAAACTAAGATCGTTTGATCAATCAGTTGTAATACAAAGATAAACCGTTTGTAAGGCTTTTACTGAATCTGTTTATCTGTTTTTATACAATTCAAAAACTAAACGATCTTCATTCAATTGATATTTTTTTAGATATGATCTTTTATAGTCATATATAATATGAACACTTTCGATTATAAATACGAAGTTCTGTAAATAAGACATGAGATATTTTAAGGAGAAGTATCTCCTCAATCCTTGAGGAGCCAATATTACCTAAATAAAGAAAAAAAGAACAGAATAGAATTTTGAGATCAAATGTTTCGACTGTGATTTTCTCTTGTTTATGCAACTTAGTTTCCTGATTCTCTTTTGATATTATCTAAAAAGAAGAAGAAAAAAAAAAAGGTCTGAAAATCACTTTTCTTAGTACAAACGTAACAAAAATATAAAAATAAAAATCTTGTCTAGATTTCCTTTCATGTCTGGAATTGTGAGAGAAAGATTTTTTTTCCTAAGTACTTGGCATTTAAGTCGGTGCTCCACGTGTCACAATATAAGCACATGAATGTTTTGGGACTGTAGAGGGAGCATCCCTAAGATTGCTCACAAAATTCACTTATTATCTATACAATTTCTTTTTCTTTTTTTAGTCGAGCGATAAGAGTTAGTAAGTCAGATGTTAAATTAGTCACCGACGGAGTTCAAACTCACGCCATCATGGAAAGGCACACCACATTTTCACCACCATGGTAAAAGACCACTTGCATCTATACTATTTCTTAGCATACTAAGATTTGCATGCATTTACATGTCGAATGAACGCCTCACCCTCGACACTCTCCCTCTTCATTTCTCAATTCTGATTCAATCAACCTTATGACACCACCAAAACTAAGGACATTTTCCTAACAACAAATTTTTGTTTATGGAGCTTTTCCTTCTTTTGGGACCAGTTTTCAACTCAGAGTGAGATTTTAAAATCAAAAGCAGTAACATAACACCAAGAGACTGCATATTCAGTAACCATAGAAAGAACAAAAACAAGTAAGGAAAAAAAAAAAAAAACGACAAGTATACGTTTCCAATCTAGTAACCTGTTGACCTTATAATGGGTTATAAACCTGTAAGTTCTTTCTTCTACAACAGATGCCTCGCGTCGGTAGATCTCACACGACATTTCTACTCCCTGGGAAAACAAATATTTGAGAAATGTATCAGTTAACAAGCAGAATAAGCTTCACGCTATCAAAGAAAATATGCCTTCTAACAGTTGAAATGTACAATGCTGAATTAAAGACTGTCTAGATAGTTAACTGCTGTCAAATCACGATTGAGAAATTAACATCTCTGTTTAGATCAATCAACCAATGAAAAGTCTAATAGGAAACGCAAACAAATTATCAATACTACTTATACAAACCATGCTGCCACAGCACTAGCCGTTCACATAAGTGATCTAAGGTGAACGGTATTATATTCTTTTGACGGTTATCCTTATTCATAAGAACTTCAGATGGTTATCCTATGTTTAATGAAAACTGAAATGATCATAGCATGTTCCCTGGTATAGCTTTAAGCCTTTAAGGAAGCAGAGCGGCATTACTGGCTTACGAAAATAAATCTATTTTTACTCCAAGATGAGATTGCTCACAATCACAACTACATGAAGGCTCCTGCCAATATGCGGTATAGGGAAGCAAGATGTACACAGACACCCCTATTCCCCGAGAGGCTGTCTCTGCGAAATCAGGTCATTGGTGCAAGCCATACCATTCCACGAAGTCTCAACTTCAGATTGCTCACAAGTTCACCTTCAAAATCTTTTTTCCTGACTGCATATTTCCCAGAAAGCACCCTTGAGTGCCATCTTGTGGGATATGTAGTCCACATTTTATTAGATCATAAAATAATGACTGGTTGTTGGCAGGTACCATCATCCCCGATATACTCACAACTAGGCAATCAATCTAGCATGTCCCAGTTCTACAAAAGGGGCACCATTATAAAAAGGTAACAGAGGAACTGACTTAAGACCAAGTAAATGATGTCTCTCTTGTGGAAATAGAGGTCTTATTCACGTAAAAGCCAATAACTAAGTTCCAAACTTCAAAAAGGTAACCACTGAGGTGAGCCAAGACAAGACTGATGCACATTAAAACTTCCATAGTACCAGTCGTGATTGTGATCAAAAGAGGATTCTAGTATGTTTGTATTCAGAAAGGCAACTCCGAAACACCTAATAAATTGCATTCTTCGTCTTTACAGTACATAAACAAAATAAAAAAAAATATATATATTGGAATTTCCCATTTTTGCAACTTAAGGTAAACAGAATCTCACCATTCATAAGGGTTGTGCAGTAAATAGCATACAGATAATCTGAAAATCATGACTAATAACACTCTGCTAGACACCTGGCTCCAAAATTGCTCTATCAGAAATCTCGTTGATTTGACACAAGAAGGTTGATAACATAAGAGACACAATTTGGAAGCAGCCTTAATGTGAAAAAATGAGCCACTGGAGGTAATTGGCCCCACAATAACGTTAAATAAAAAACTACGACAACTGTTAGACATTCGCCTAGTGTTGTAGAGATATATATACCAATTCAAAGCATCATCCATGCCCAAATTTTTTAATCAAACCAATACAAGGTACCAAGCTTAACCAAGCACGCGGGACAACACCGAGTAATTGGCCTAGTAGCTTAGGTGCGGTTCATCCAAGTAAGGAAAACAAGCTCCAGCATTCTGCCAAGCTTAAGCGTAGTTCCTACGAATCTAAGTTTGTTAAACTATCAATACCCACTAGATTACATAGCAAAATGAAAATATTTCTTAATATCTTTCCATATTTGCACAAACTAGCAATCATATTCAAATCATTTAAAGAGAGGGAAATGGGCAAGGATCATACCACTTGATGAGCCAGCCAAACAGAAAATGCTGCATAATCGGAACCTTGCCCAACACCTCAGCCTTATACATCTTAAGCAACCCACTATTCACTTTGTTCCAATTAGGCACTCCGCTGATATCATCCAACAACGGTGAGTGCTCCGAAAATGGACCCTTCTTCACCTTCTTCACAAACTTAACGCACGAAAGATACAAATACTCTTTCGAAAAATTCTCCACGATATCATCATTGTGAATTGACTTAGGCTTCATATACTTATGCCCGATCAACTGCGACGCCCCGAAAATAAACGGTAGGAAATGGTAGTCATCGAGGCCCCAAACGCCGTGAGACCCCGCCGGCTCCAAGCAATACACCAACTGCAGCTTCCTCATCAAATCCAAGTACTTGACAAAAACTCGAGCCACGACAGCCGGATAATCTTCTTCTTTAATCACCCCCATTCTCGCCAGACAGTAAAGCCAAGCAGCGAAGTTGGTCTCATGCCCAGTACCATAATCGATTCGACTCGGGTTCCCGAAGCTATCAGTGAAATACGGGACGATCTCGATCGTAGAAGGGTGGAGATGCTCAGGGAGGAACTGCAGCATGAGGGAGTGGCTGGATTCGGACAACCGCTCGTGCCAGGAGCGGAATGAAACGTTGCCATATCGGGCGGCTTGCTGGGTGGGTGGGATTTCGTCGACCCATTGAATTAGGGTTTCGAGAATGGAGACGATGGTGTTGACGACGTCTGATTGGTGACAAGGGTCGGAGATTTTCTTGGCGCGGATGGACTCGGAGAGGGCGGCGATGAATCCGACGAAGTGTTTGCCGGAGAAATAGTCGTGGAAGCGGCGGAGATCGTCGGGGGACTGGATGACTTTGGAGGGGGATTGGAAGTGGTAGGGAGGGGAGATTTGGGGGACAGAGAGGGACTGAGGGACAGGGGCGAGGATGATGGCCTGTTGGGAGTTAGGGTTTGGAGGGAAGTTGATGGCGGGAGCTCGGATTGGGCGGTAGTTTGGGGGAGGGGAGATGTCGGAGAAGGAGGGTGGGGGTGCGGCCATGGGGGTTGGGGCTCCGCATTTGCAGCAGGTTGGGGTGGAAATGGAGGTGGCGGTGGAAGATGGTGGAGATTCTAGGGATTTGGAGTGTTGGTGGTGGTGGTGGTGGTCTGATTTGCAGGGAGTGGGTTGGGGTTCCATTTTTGGAGGAAGTGGAGGGAGAACAGAGTGGCAAACTCAAACGGGGAAGAGCGACGCCTTTACGCAAAATATCTCCTGCACTGCGTTTTAAAACTGTTGGATCAAATACGGCGGCTGAGATTAGATTGATATAAAAGAATTTGTACCTTGAAACGTAACGTAACACCAAAAGCGGCAGACCATACCCAACATCAATTTTCAAAATAAGAAAACAAAGACACATTATAAAACAAAGTTAGAGTATCACCGCCGTGATCATATCAACCACCACCATTACCCTCGTTACCATGGACAACATCACCTTCACGGTCTCACTATGGCAGTCGGCACCACCGCCACAGTCTCACCCTGACTACACCACCTGCACCTCGTCGCCACCACCACCTCCGCCGTTTCACTGTTGCGGCCACCCCCATTACCCTGATCATGGCCACTACCACCTTCACTATTTACCCTCACTATTACCACCACTCCAACCATCATTGCTACCAACACCACTCTCGTCTCAACCACCATCACTGTCACCAACGACACCATTACTACCAACACACAAGTTTACATTTTTATGACACATAAATATTGGTACCATACGCGTTTTCAAAGTCTTTATTCTCAAAACTCATTCTAAGATATTAAACTACTAGGCTCATTCTCAAATTATAAAAATGAAAAATTTTATTTGCCCTCTTCGTTTTACACAACAGTTGTTCAAAAATTGTTTTGCATTAAGTTACCGAACAGGCCCTTAATTTCTCCAAAACCTTTATTTTGACGTCTCGCAGATTAAGAACGCAGCTTTAATTTGATAAGAAAATTCAAGAATAAATTACGGCCAGGCCACCATTCAATTCTTGGGTCTGAAGAAATTGTATCCAAATTCGATTTCAGTTAACGCAACTCAGTCACGTACGTTCGATGAGTAGGTTCCGACGAGTGAGGGAGATCTGGTCATGGGGAGGGTGCGATGATGGAAAGAGCGTATGACATTGAAAGTCGATATGAGTCCACTGCTTAGTTTTTCTGTTTTTTGAGTTCTGGATGGCGTTCTACTTGGTGGTGGTGGCATTGTGACTACAAGTAAGAGAGAGAGTAGCGAGCATGTCTGCCCAAACTCCAGACAGAGTTTGAGAAGTTAGTTCCTAAACATGTTAATCAATATTTAAATAATAATTTAATCATTAACAACCATACCTAGCATCACCATTGATGATGACCAAGCTCTAATAAGAGACGTTGCTTAGACCATCTCCAACCCTTAGCCTAAAACCTAAAATTTTTAGCCCAGAAAATTTAGGTTTTAACATAGAAATAGGTTTTTTGCTCTATATTATTAAAAAATAAATTTAGGCTAAAATTTTCTTTTTAAGTAAATTAAAAAAAAAATTATGTGCACTAATTTAATTTTATGAACATTTTAACTAAAAATATTTGAATTCCGATAAATATTGAAAAAGCACTAAATTTAGGTGAATTTTAAGTTAAATAATTTTTTTAATTATTTAGCGGATTTAAATTTGGGCCGTTAGATTTTTCTTTTTTTTACCGTTAAATTTGATTATATTCAATCTCAGCCGTTAGATTCAATAAATCCTAAGAGACATGTTTACGTGGGTGGGATTCTGTTGATGGTGCCCACACTATTTTCTGGGCTAAATCCTGGGCTATTCTAGCTTTGTTTTAGGTTTTAGGTCCAATTTTAAACTTGGATTGGGTTGGATTTGGGGAGGGGAGGGGGGGGGGGGGGGGATGGAAGGGGAAAAATATGTTATAAGCCAGGGTTGGAGTTCGCCTTATGAGGAGCCTGCTCCTTTTGTCTAATACTCTGATGTTGATGGTGCAATGCACTGCTTGTTTTGGGGTTCTTTTAACATAAGTGGCAGCTTGGATGATGATCATCATGATGGAAACCTAATTGTTCAATTGCCCTACGTAACCCTTCTCCCAGAGGTTGCATTGCTTGGTGGCGGCTGACCAGTCACAAGGGCCAATTGTGCAAGCAGGCCAGCAGCCACCAAAGATGCTCCATGTCACAATTGGGCAGTAGCAGTAGATTAATTTTGTAACTACATCTTAGCGTGTGCTTGCGACTCCATATATTCAAAACAAGAGTAACAGAAACGCATTAACCAAGTCAAATGTGACATAGCTTTGGTGTGCATGGGTGTGCCCATGTCTGTTTATTTTAGGTTGTAGTATGATTTCATGTAAGCTAGCAGTGTTTCTATTGACTTGTTCCTAACTGACAGAAAGTATTACACCTTCAAAATCATGACGAAACTATATTTTCGTTTCAATGGACAAAAGAATTCTAAACTGAGGAAAGGGGATGAATCGAATAGATTTGCAAATATATACTAAACAAGACGCAATGATCAAACAGATAACATGGTCCAAAAGAGTTTTTAATCAAGTGTCCTCTTCTCTTCTATGGTGGCAATTATCTCAGCAGCATGTAACTTAAAAACTCCACATGTGCTTGACAGCAAAAAGGCTTTCTGCATTCACTGTAGTTCATTGTCGAGCAAGGTATCGAAGGATCATCTTCCAAGTCAACTAAATTGTTCGTTGCCTATGTTTGAGAGCGGAGTTGTGACCAACCTATTCATATATATAAGAGAAGAAACACCGTAGAATAAAAAATCCTAATTTGGTAACAAACGAAAACCAAACTATATAAAACCAATAATAGGTTGAAGGTAACGCGACCAAAATAAGACATATGCATACCAATGCGACATATTGTCACACATTTCGAATTTCTACAAATGGATATTAATAAAACAAATGCACGTCAACTTGGCCACACAATGTGGCACATCACTTACCCTCTATTTCTTACCCCTACCGCCTTTCGATTTTTCTGGAAGACGAGTGTGGGAGTGGAAATCGTCTTGCTTTGTTACTCTTCCTTAAAGCATTTGATTGGTGGGTTGGGGTGGATAAAGTATTGTTTACCCCAAAATTATTGTTGGGTCTTAGGTTTGGTCTAGTAGGATGATTCACAAAGAAAATAAGAGTTTGAGCCTTTGATTTGGACTAAATGAATATTACATGGCTCAAATTACAATTTGACTTGTCAACTGCTAAGTCTTGATTTCCCTCTCGACTATCGGGAGCATTGAATGCAAAGCACTTTGCTGTCTTTTGGAGGGAGGATGATATAAATTTAAACAAAACCATCGTTTTGGTTAGGCTAATTTTGATTCACTGCACAAATTTTTTGGATTACTTTCTCATTGGTGCCATTACTTTTTGGAAAGTAATCCTCGGTTGGCTTCAAGTGGAAACATAGGAATCATTGGAGGAAGATGTGAAAGGTATATAAATACAAGTAAAGGACTTAGAGCAAAAGGTACTCAAATCATTTAGCAAATAATCAAGCATTCAAACCAAAAGCTCTCTGCCTTTATTTGTTTCATATCACTTGAAACTAAGACCTTGAACTTGAGGAAACTCTCCTTTAGACTCTAAGATCTATTAGAATTTGCTTTGCTACCAACTTTTACGTAGTATTGATTTACCAACCTCAAGATAGTTAGTCTCTTTGGTTAATCCTTTAGAAGGAAACATCTTTAACCCAATCTGATGGCCGCATATCCAATTCGATAAGAGTTCTATCTATTGTTCTAAGTTCATATGTGTATGTACTTTCCTTGTTTTTATAATATTCAACAATATTAATATCAATTTCAATTACTTACTGTTTTCGTCGCTTATTATCTTGACTTTTGCTATAAATGACTAAAATGGTCTGTTTGAATATAACCAGTTTGTGTCCAACCCATCTTGGTAGTTTCTGGTGTAACATCATGAAACAATTAAAATCTTTAACATGTGAGGAATTAAAAAGAACCAAACTTGAGTCAAGGTTTGGCACGATCCTTTGATAAAAGGAGTTTTATTTACGTGTGGCTCAAGTATCTCGTATACATATAATCTATTCTATAGATAGTGTTTGAACCATTTCAATTTTAGTTTTTAACTTTCAATTTTTAATTAGTTAACTGAAAACTCGTTTGATAACTACTTTTAATTTTCAAAAAAAATGAAAACTAAAAGCCAAAATTTGAAAACTCAAGAAAGTAAGTTTTCAAATTTTAAAATTACCAAATAATTTTTAAGTTTTCAAAAAAGAAAAAAAGAAAACAAAACTGAAAAATGAAAACGAAGCCCTTTTACTATTTCAATTGGTGGTCATAATTTTTATTAAGATTTAGTTTTTTGGCCCTAAAGGATATTTTATTTTTGTAATAATTTTTAAAGCAGTTTTTATAGATTTTGTTACCAATTTTCTAAGGCCGATTTTTTTTTTTCGTTGTTCATGTGGTAATATTGTACTTTTAAATTCATCTTGTGATGAAAAAGCTATCAATCGTAACTTTGTGGTGAAGTTCGTAACCAATCATAGGTCAAATTGGATTTCCCTCATTTTTCTGCTATATGTAGGGACAAAAGTGTCATTTTAAGTTCTATTAGTTGCAACAACTAATCATAAACCGCCATAAGGACATGACTTCTTTTTTTTTTTTTTTAATTTATTTAATTTATTTTTTTATCTTTAAAACTAGAATTAAAAAAATGAAACAACAAAACTATAAGGTTCATTTTATCAGACTGGCTGTCATCCGATATATTCCACTTCCCTATCTCAAGACAGCCAAGAGTCCAAGACCAAGATTAAAAAAAATCAAAAAAATCATCTTCAGGAGCCAAGTTAATTCCTACATTTTTTTCGTAGAATAGTGATCCCATGTCCAAACAAAGCTATTGACTCTATGAAGGAGTACTATATCTATATATAATTAAAAGGGATTTCAGCCATATTCTTTCTTAGAAACCTAGAATTTCTTCTTTTATACTAAAATCTCTAACTCATGTTATGACATGTGCACTTGGAAATGTAGCAATTCATAAATTCCATACAAATAAAATAGTAATTTAAGAGTTTACCAAAACTAAAACAATTAATAAAATATGTCATAAGGGCCGGCTATCTATCGATTAAAAAAGTTGAAATACAGTACTATATACTCCGGAGAATCATAATTTTTTTTTAAAAAACTTGTTGGCATTGCACGAGTCTCGGTCTCCACTTGACAGTGGTCTTATTGATCATCTCCTCGTTTAGACAGCTGCGGGTCCATATA